CTGAAGCGGGTGGACCATAAGGTCAGGAGTTCAAGACCAGCCTGGCCAAGATGGTGAAACCCCACTCTACTAAAACTCTAAAAATTGGCCAGGCATGGTGGCAGGCGCCTGTAATCCCAGCTACTAAGGAGGCTGAGGCGGGAAAATCGCTTGAACCCAGGTGGCAGAGGTTGCAGTGAGCCAAGATTATACCACTGCACTCCAGCCTGGGCAACAGAGCAAGACTCCATCTCAAAATAAATGAATGAATGAATAAATAAATAAATAAATAAAAGAAATTGAGGTAGAGGAGCTTTATTGTTAAATGTTTTTTCTAATCCATATCATTGGTAAGTAGCAGAGCTAGCGTTCACTGTCTAATAATAATGTTTATTGTTTCTTTTTTATTTTTATGTTTTTTGTGACAGTCTCACTCTGTCACCAGGCTGGAGTATAGAGGCGCGATCTCGGCTCACTGCAACTTCCACCTTACAGCTTTAAGTAATCCTCCTACCTCAGCCTCCCAAGTAGCTGGGACTACAGGCGCTTGCCACCATGCCCAGCTGATTTTTGTATTTTTAGTAGAGACGGGGTTTCACCATGTTGACCAGGCTGGTCTGGAACTCCTGACCTCAAGTGATCCACCTGCCTCAGCCTCACAAAGTGCCAGGATTGCAGGCATGAGTCACTGTGCCTGGCTTCTTGTTTCTTCCCTAAAATCTGCTGATAAAACTTATCAGATAAAGCTTATCTTTTACAGTTATAATTAATATTTTACAGTGATAACGATATTTTCATCAATAAAGCTCAGGTTTTCTCAGTCAGCATTTTTCATTTTAAGTTAATACCTGAATTCTTGGCTGTCAATGAGAATTATTTCCTTTTTAAGTGCTGGTCTGTGACAAAGATGCTTAAAGTTAACCAAGTAATCATGTGCTCCCTGCACTTCCCAGTCTCTCTTGCAATTAGGAGGACCCTGTGACTTCTGAGCCAAAGTACAGGTAAATAGGTGCAAGTCCCCTCTACTTTCTTCCCCTGCTGTGATGATGACAGGGGCAATATGTTAAGAAAATGGAAGCCCCAGGTGAAATTAGCTCAAATACTTGGGGCATTGTTTGCGAAGAAGATGCCTAAGAGACACCAACCTACCATGGACTAACTTCAATGTGTTAAAATGCTACAATCTCATGGCTTGTACATTGACACAGCATAACCCATCTTATGCTGTCTTAAGATGGGTTCTATCCTTTTCAAGGTTGAAAAATACTGCTTTGGGACTTTAAGCTTTTTTTTTTTTTTTTGAGATGGAGTCTCACTTTGTCACCCAGGCTGGAGCGCAATGCTCGATCTCAGCTCATTGCAACCTCCACCTCTTGAGTTCAAGCAATTCTCCTGCTTCAGCCTCCCGAGTAGCTGGGCCTACAGGCGCGTGCCACCACACCTGGCTAATCTTTTATTTTTTCAGTAGAGATGGGGTTTCACTGTATTAGCCAGGATGGTCTCCATCTCCTGACCTTGTGATCCACCCGCTTCAGCCTCCCAAAGTGCTGGGATTACAGGCGTGAACCACCGCGCCCGGCTAGACTAAGCTTTTTAATAAGTGTTGACTACTTCTTGTAGAAGTGCATACTCTTTTCCTTTTGAATGTTTGAAAAGCTATTAATTCATAAAGGCGGGAAGCTGAAAGGCTTGTTTTTCAAAAGACTTTTCAAAACCCTGAAGGCAGTTCCAGCAATCCCACTATTGGGTATATATCCAAAGGAAATGAAATCTTTTTTTTTTTTTTTTTTTTTTTTTTTTGAGACGGAGTTTCGCTCTTGCTACCCAGGCTGGAGTGCAATGGCGCGATCTCGGCTCACCGCAACCTCCGTCTCCTGGGTTCAGGCAATTCTCCTGCCTCAGCCTCCTAGGAAATGAAATCTTATGTTGAATAGATATCTGCACTCTCATGTTCACTGCAGCACTATTTAAAATACTCAAGTTATGGAATCAACCTAAGTGTTCATCAACAGATAAATGGATACATGTGGTATATATAGGTATTACTGGATAGACAGTAACAAAAAATGATTTTAAAAAATGTGGTATACATATACGATGGAATACTATTCAGCCTTTAAAAAGAAGGAAATCCTTCTCCTTAAAGTCTGAGTATTTGATTTAAAAATAAGATAAAATAAAATAAAAAATAAAAAGAAGGAAATCTTGTTATATGGGACAACATGGATGAACCCAGAGGACATGTTAAGTGAGGTAAGCCAGGCACAGAAAGACAAATACTGCATGATCTCACTTATATGTGGAATCTAAAAAGGTTGAACTCATTGATGGGAAGAGTAGAATGGTGGTTACTAAGGGCTAGAGTTACCAGAGTGTGGTTTGGGGAGATGTTGGCCAAGGATACAAAATTTCAGTTTGATAAGAGGAATAATTTCAAGAGAACTGTTGTACAACATAGTAACTATAGTTAGTAACAATGTATCATATTCTTGAAAATTGCCAAGAGAGTAGATTTTAAGTGTCCTCACCACACCAAAAAAGATAGGTAGGCTGGGCATGGTAGCTCACACCTGTAATCTCAGTACTTTGGGAGCTTGAGGTGGATCACCTGAGGTCAGGAGTTCAAGACCAGCCTGGCCAACATGGTGAAACCCCACCCCTACTAAAAATACAAAGTTAGCTGATCATGGTGGTGTATACCTGTAATCCCAGCTACTCGGGAGACTGAGGCAGGAGAATCACCTGAAGCCAGAAGGCAGAGGTTGCAGTGAGTTGGGATCATACCATTATACTCCAACCTGGGCAACAACAGCAAAACTCCATTTAAAAAAATAAATAGGCCAGGCGCGGTGGCTCAAGCCTGTAATCCCAGCACTTTGGGAGGCCGAGGCGGGTGGATCACGAGGTCAAGAGATCGAGACCATCCTGGTCAACACGGTGAAACCCCGTCTCTACTAAAAATACAAAACATTAGCCGGGCATGGTGGCGCGTGCCTGTAATCCCAGCTACTCAGGAAGCTGAGGCAGGAGAATCGCCTGAACCCAGGAGGCGGAGGTTTCGGTAAGCTGAGATCGCGCCATTGCACTCCAGCCTGGGTAACAAGAGCGAAACTCCGTCCCTAAATAAATAAATAAATAAATAGATATGTATGTGAAGCTCAATCCAGTCATTCCACAATGCATATATGTATTTCAAAACAACACGTTGTATGTGACAAATATATATGATTTTTATTTGTTAATTCTTAAAAATAAAACCTGGAAGCAAACAGTGCTCTAGAGCTCAGGGAACAATGTGTATATGGAGTTCGTAGGGGTGCAGCCAGAGGCAGCCTCTCCTTTTCATAGAACCCAGCCCAGCTCTGGCACCTTAGGAGGCTGCAGCTTTGGAGTAACCAGCAGACAGCACCCATGAACATCTTCACTCTGTCACCAGGCTGGAGTGTAGTGGTGTGATCTCAGCTCACTGAAACCTCTGCCTCCCGGGTTCAACGATTCTCCAGCCTCAGCCTCCCAAGTAGCTGGGATTACTGGTGCACGCCACCATGCCCAGCTAATTTTGTATTTTTATTGGAGACAAGGTTTCACCATGGTGGCCAGGATGGTCTGATCTCCTGACCTTGTGATCCAACCACCTCTGCCTCCCAAAGTGCTGGGTTTACAGGAATGAGCCACCACACCTGGCCCAGCCCTTTCTTAAGATACATCAGCACCAAGGATCAAAGTGATGTTCCTTCACGCAGTCTGTAAACCCAGATGTATCTGACACAGGCCTCAATCAATTCAGAAAGTTTACTTTGCTAAGGTTAAGGATGCGCCCATGACACAGCCTCTGGAGGGAGGTCCTGACGACATGTGCCCAAGGTGGCCAGGATACGGCTTGCTTTTATACATTAGGGAGATACAATAGATCAAGCAATACGTGTAAGATTAACATTGGTTTGATCTGGTAGAGTGGGACAACCTGAAGGGGTAGGGGCTTCCAGATCATAGGCAGATTTAAATTTTTTCTGATTGGTAATTGATTGAAAGAGTTATTATCAAGAGAAAGGAATGACTGGGTTATGGTGAGGGGTGTGGAGACCAAAGCTGTGTCGTGTAGATGACGCCTCCAAGTATCAGGCTTCAAAAAGAATGGGTTGTAAATGTTTCTTATCAGGCTTAAGGTCTGTTTTCACGTTAATGCTGGTTGGTTTTTACTGAATTCCGAAAGGAAGGAGAGATATAATGAAACGGATCTAATCCCTGCTTTAATCATGGTCTGAACTAGGTTTTTCAGGTTAACTTTGGAATTCCCTTGGCTGAGAGGAGGGGTCCATTCAGATGATTGGGGGCCTTAGAATTTTGTTTTTGAATACATTCATTTCATCTCAGTAGTACCAAAAAAAAATTTTTTTTGTTTTGTTTTTGGTTTATACAGCTTTGAAAGCAATCAACATGAACCAGAGATATAAGGGAAGGAGAGACGTGAGAGTGCAAAGCATGTTGTGGGTTGACTATGGCTGACAGATTGGTTTGTGAGCCACAGTCAGAATAGTCCTTTGGGGGCCAGGCGTGGTGGCTCACACCTGTAATACAAACACTTTGAGAGGCCGAGGCAAGTGGATTGCTTGAGGTCCGGAGTTTGAGACCAGCCTTGCCAACATGGTAAAACCCCATCTCTACTAAAAATACAAAAAAATGAGCTGGGCATAGTGGTGCATGCCTGTAGTCCTAGCTACTCAGAAGGCTGAGTGAGGCAGGAGATTCACTTGAACCCAGGAGGGAGAGGTTGTAAAGCAGGAAAGCGGCTGCAAAACTAACCTCTGGAACACTGAACTGGGAAGGAAGGGGTGATTTATTTGGCCGGGGAGCGAGGCAGCATAGTTGCCTAACAGCCAAGCTCAGCTCACAAAGAAAGTCCCTGCTCTTTTAAAGGCTTATACTCTAGAAATTACATGTGAAAGGGTCTTGGGCCATGGAGCAGGGTGGGGTACAGTGACTTATGTGGGGGTTTGATTGTGTTTAAGTAAAAACAATGCCTTCCAGAAAGATTCCTCCATACCATGCTTGCAGATCTATAGGAGGGCAATTAAAGGTAACGTCTGGTCTGCCAGCCTTTACTTCTCCAATTGAAATGCAATGTGGAAGTCAAGGGGGAGGTGGTCTTAAATGCTTAAGGGTGATTAAGGGTCTCCTTCCTCACTCCCCTCTTTGAGAATCTCACCTATAACATTAGTGAGAGTTCTCACTCTCATTCTCATTTTCGTGATCCTCTGAAGAAACTTATTGATCATTGTAAGGGGTATTGCCGATTTAAAATGAGGAAACTGAGGCCACTGTAAGAAAAATAAGTGTCAGTTTATTCACCTCCCGGGAGAGGTTCTATGGTCTGGGAGGGGGGCCAGAGAGGTCGAACTGACTTTCTGGGGTGTGGGGTTTTTGTGGCTATGAGTAACGAGTAACAACAGGGTGTTCTGATTAGCTCTGGGGGACGGGAATGGGCCGCTATTGGTTGGTGGGTTGGCAGGCAGGTTTTTTGGTGCAAGATTTGGTTAGGGTTGCATCAGCCGGAATTCCCGACTGGAGGGCTGGGTGCACAACTGGGTGCTGAGTGCAGAGCTGGGTGTTGAGTGCAGAGCTGGGTGGCTGTCCAGGCTCCTGATGAGGCATCCGGCCTTACAATAATGATGCATATACTATATTTGTGATGTAGTTTTCTGGTTAACTACAGCAGTGATGAATCCTCTAATCATCTGAAGGAATAGGGGAAGCAAACAAGGGAGTAGCAAGCAAACACCTATTATTATTACAACACTTATGATGAGAGTCTTGAATCCGCCTAAGGATGAGAACCAACCTCCAAACAAGGATTCAGGGTTAAATCCATGCCATACCTGCACAGCCATGTGTGCCAGGTTGGTCATGTCTTTTACAATATCCTCAACTGCTTGATGCTGGTCGTCTATGTGTAGACAGCAGTCAGTTAGTTTGAATTTTTCACAGACTCCTCCTTCAGCTGCTAGCAAATAATCTATGGCCAACTACTTCTGATAAATCGCATTTCTCATTTGAGTTTCTTGTCGGGCCAAAAGGACAGAGCTTTGTCCATTTCATTAACAAGTATTTCCAAGGCAGCCTGCAACTGGATGATCCAATTGCGCATATACATAGGAGTCCGGTGTCCCCATGAGCCATTCTCCGCCCATGTGGCTGGCCCATAATACTTAATAATTCTTTCCAGTGGCCTCTCATTATCCTCCCATTCACCTATCTTTATACTTCTTTTCTCCCAGGTGGAGTAGACTGGATGTGCTAACAGCCCACCTGTCTTGGCAGACAATAGGAAAAAGGAAGGCTTAATGATTCCTATGACACAGCTACCTGTCCATCTTTCAGGCAGCTGTACATATTCTCTATGTCCACATATCCAGTACAACCCAGCCTGGGGCCATCCAGTCTCTCCAATATCCAGGATGACTCCAAGCATCATGTAATTTTGGAAATTTTAGGAGGGGGTTTTTCTCTGTATGGTTTGAGCTCCAGCAAGTCGCAGTGTCCACTGTTCCCTTATACAGTTGCTGCCCTAGGCAGCTAAGCTTTCCAACTGGAACAGTGAAGTCTGTTCCTTCTCTGGACAAACTATTGTCCAATAATCGAAACCTTTAGAACCCAGAAACTGTTGGTCTGAATTCTTTGAACTGAGGTCAGGTCAGGAACAGGGTTAGAGGGTACTAACTCATGGGCTTCCCATGGTCACCTATCACCCATGGTAATTTCCCCACATACATAGCAAGAAGTGACATTAAGCGAACGGACCACATTTTCAGCAAGTTGGAGGAACAAGTTCTTTGTCTTTTTCGGAAGTTCCAGCACTGGCTCATTTAATATATCATAGAAGGGCTGGTATACTGGCTGGGCTGAGTGTTTTTGGATTTTTCCCTGAATTTGGATATTGACTCTGGGATCAAGCCCTTTCCCATCAATTCCTAGCAGTACACTCTCCCCTTTTTCCCATTTGGGGTCTTGGGAGTTTGTGATTATTAATTCTACTGGGTTACAATGTCTTGAGCCTCAGGGGACATTACTCCCTGGAATGGTGTCCACCCCTTTTACAAGGCAAATGGGATTATTTGTATTATTTTTCCAAGTGGCCCAGATGACGCGTGACCAAAAATGCATTTACTGCACCAGTAGGTTTTCTGGCAGATGTACTTATGCTCTTTTGCATAACTTTGTTCCCATCCAAGGGAACCACAGTCCCCCAGATTGGAATGATAGACATTGATGGCTGCACAGGCATCAAACCTTAGGGTGACTTGTTTTGGGCTTCCCTTCTCCTCTGTTTTTGCTATTAACTTAGTAGGGCTGTTCCATCATCCTGTTAGGAGTTTAATTTCAAAAGTCGTATGCATAGGGGGTTCTGATGGATTGTAGCAGACATCGGGCTGTCCATCCCCTGGATTACACACCTTATGCTGAGTACCATTATATAAACAGGTTCCCTTCTGTGTCCCTGTACATTCATAATTACTGTAGAACAAAAGAATGGCAGTAACGTTCCACCCTACCTCAGTAACCTGCTGCACACACTGAGAGCATTCTCCAAAATCAGTTAATGTTCCTACTGTAAAAGTCCAAATCTTAAGAAGAGTAAGTCCCACGATGAATTTCCTTATGCTTTGGCCATGCACAGACCAGCCAGCTTCTGCGATGTGGCTGGAGCAGGGCTTGTTGTCCTTTTCAAGGTGATTCTATAGTTGTTGTCTGGGTCTGGTCTAGCTTCCCAAGTTTCTGCTGCTGCCAGCTTGACGCAGCTATGGTGGATCCAGGCTGTGACTCCCTCACCTTTAAGGCTGCGGGAGTGGTCAGGATCACGGTCTGGGGTCCTTTCCATCGTGGCTTCAGAGGGACTGCATTTTGGTCCTTTATCCACAAGTGATTACCTGGTGAGAAAGGGGGAACTGGGGAGAATAAGCTTACAGGGCATCTTTCATTTACCCAGATTGAAATACCCTGAGTGATTTTTCCTAGAGCTTGCAGCTGTTGTCCTAGCTCAGTATTTCCCCACTGCTGAGGAGTTCCCGGGAGTGTTCGCATATGGGAGGGGGCCTATGATATGATAAGACTTTATGGGGGGCTATAGGGAGTACATCTAATGTTGAATGACACCAAGGGAAGTGCCTGCACCCACTGTAATTCTGTTTCCTGACACATCTTCCCTAAGCTGTCTATCTGCTCCATCTTCTGCTTGGAGAAAGTCCTTTTCTTCCTGAAGTTAACAGTCCTTTTTCTTTGTACAGCACTCCATGCACTTGAAGAATTAGAAAGGCATACCAGAGGCTGGGTGTGGTGGCTCATGCCTGTAATCCAAGCCCTTTGGAGGCCAAGGCGGGAGGATCACCTGAGATCGGGAGTTCAAGACCAACCTGACCAACATGGTGAAACCCCGTCTTTATTTCAAAAGAAAAAAAAAAAAAAAAAAAAGAAAGGCATACCAGAAATTAGTATAAAAGTTCACAGTCTTTTTTTTTTTTTTTAAGATGGGGTTTCTCCATGATGGCCAGGCTGGTCTTGAACTCCTGACCTCAGGTGATCCACCCACCTCGGCCTCCCAAAGTGCTAGGATTATAGGTGTAAGCCACTGCGCCCGGCTATAAGTTCACAGTCTTATCTTCAGATAAGAGCAGCAAGTTCAGCCTCCTGAGCCAAAGTACACTGAGGCAGTGGCACAATCCCGATTACTGTGTTCAGAGTTACTACCGCATAGCCTGCACACCCTTCTCCTTGTGGATTAACAAAACTGCCTCTAACCACACACAACCCCCAGTCTACTACCGTCTGTGGTTGATCCTGAAGATTGGGCCTGCTGGAATAAACTGAGTCCAATACTTCAACACAGATGTGTTTAACTGGGCCTTCTGACACCGGGGGCAAAGTGGCAGGGTTTAAGGTGTTGCAGACCTCAATGGTGATGCGGGGATTTTCACATAGCAGACTCAGGTATTTGGTTAACCTCGCATTTGTTAACCAATGATGTCCTTTGGTATTTGTTAGAGTCTATACCGCGTGGGGTGTTTTGATATTTAAATTTTGCTGCAGGGCTAGCTTGTGCTAGAAGGGCAGTTGCTGCCAGGGCCCTTAAACATGGGGCCCTCCTTTAGAAACTCCGTTCAGCTGCTTGGAGAGATAAGCTACAGGCCTGGGCCAAGGTCCCACTATTTGTGTTAGAACTCCAACCGCCATTTTTTCCCCCTCTTTCTGACACATACAGCGTGAGAGGCTTTGTTAAATTGGGTAACTCCAAAGCCAGGGATGACAAAAGTCTCGCTTTCCGTTCCTGATAGGTCTGCCGCTGCTGGGATCCTCATTCAAAGGGTTCCTTGTCTTCCTCCACTCCCCTGCTTTGTCACTTTGTATAGGGGTTTGACCAGTAGTGCGAAGTCTGGAATGCACAATTTACAGAAACCCATGGCTCCCAGGAACTCTTTCACCTGCCTTCTAGCCTCAGGTTCTGGCAGGTTGCAAATGACTTGTTTCCTTTCTGCTCCGAGGCCGCACTCTCCCTTCCGGATGGTGAACCCAGATATCACACTTGCTGTTGACAAATCTGGACTTTTTTTTTTTCAGGCAGAGTTTTGCTCTTGTTACCCAGGCTGGAGTGCAATGGCGCCATCTCTGCTCACCGCAACCTCCGCCTCCTGGGTTCAAGCAATTCTCCTGCCTCAGCCTCCTGGGTAGCTGGGACTACAGGCTTCATCACCATGCCCAGCTAATTTTTGCATTTTAGTAGAGATAAGGTTTCACCACGTTGACCAGGGTGGTCTCGATCTCCTGACCTCGTGATCCACCCTCCTCGGCCTCCCAAAGTGCTGGGATTATAGGTGTGAGCCACCGTGCCCGGCCCTGGGCTTTCTTTTTAGACACTTTATACCCACAGTTCTCCAGGTGCCGAAGTAAGGCATCTGTTCCTTTAGCGTACCCGACTGCCATGGGGTGTCCCAATAAAAGGTCACCAGCATATTAGAGCAGCATGTAGCGTAAGTCCTTAGCAAGAAACGTCTGAAGGTCACGGGCTACTGCCTTCCTGAAGATGGTGGGAGAGTTCTTGAACCCCTGGGGAAGCCAGGTTCAGGTGTACTGGGTGGTCACACCTGTTTCTGGATTCTCCCATTGAGAATACAGAAATGCAAACTGTTCCTGACCCTTTGAGGCCAGTTCAATGCTATAGAAAGCATTCTTTAAGTCCAAGCAAGTGAACCAACTATCCTCTGCTGACAATCCCAACAGCATGTACAGGTTGGGTGCAAGTGGGTGCAAAGTCACTGTAGTCTGACTAACCAAACGCAAGTCCTGCACTGACCTGTAGTCTTCGGTCCCTGGTTTATTTAGGAAGACTCTCCACCCCTCCACTCAAGGGACTGTGAGAGCCGTGATAATCCCTGCCTGAGGCAGTTTTAGCCAAAGGGACCCCTTCTCAGTGACGATGATAGCAGGAGCTCTTAGTTTGCCTAGCAAGTCTCTCCCCAAGAGGGGTAGCGGGCAGTCCGACATGTACAAGAACTGATGTATAACCTCATTGCCTCCCACCAAACAGGTTCAAGGCAGACGGAAAGACTGTTTCTCTTACATCCCAGTAGCTCCAACAATATTGGTTGTTTTCTTTGATAGGGGGGTTACAGGACTGTTATCAGGACCATGGGCTCTTTGGGGGCAAATGATCCCAGCCCCCTTCAGTCTAGTAGCCCCTCCATTGGATTGAACAGAGCTCCTTCACTTTCACCTGAAGCCTCGTGCTTAAGAGCACCCTGTTTTCCTGCTAACTAGGGGCACTTGTCCTTCCAGTGTCCCACTTCCTTACAGTAAGCACACTGGTCACACTGCAGGTGTGGGTGACTAGACTGGGTAGCTTTCCAGGAGCCCCCCTTTTCCCTACCCTTTTGGGGGCTCTCCTGTAATAGCAGCAACTATCAAGTCAGTGTTTTGTCCAGGCTGACGCTCGTTTTCTCTAAGACTCTCTCTACAGCTTACCACGTCTCTGCTCACAAACACCTGGTTAGCTATTTCCAGTAACTGTGATGTATTCATGCCTGCAAATCCTGCCTGTTTCTGCAATTTTCTCCTAATGCCTTCTGTACATTGACTGACTAATGCCATATTTACCATACGTTGGTTTTCAGGGCTCTCAGGATCAAAAGGAGTATACATGCAATAAGCTTCACACAGCCTCTCATAGAACTGTACCGGGCTTTCCTCTTTCCCTTGAATGACCTCAGAGACTTTATTGATGTTTGTAGCCTTCTGGGCGCCCTTTTTCAGTTCTTCCAGTAAGGCCTCTGTACCAGATTAACGTTTGCATGCCCTCCGGGGTGTTTGGATCCCACTGGGGGTCCAGCCCCTGGTAACTGGACCCTGGCATACTCTTGGGGGTTATAGTAATCTGCAGGAACATGCTCCTCCAGCCATTTAGAAGTGGCTTGGAGTACTCTGCCATTCGTCTGTGTTAAAAAGATACATAAGCAGCTGATTGCAATCAGCCCAAATGGGGTTATAAGTCTGAATAATAGTTTGCAGTAGGTCAATGAGAGCTTGTGGCTTCTCGGTATAAGACGGGTTGTTATTTTTCCAGTTGATAAGATCAGCTGAGGTGAACAGCAGGTACGTGAAAACATGCCTTTCCACCATGTGGCGGTCCTCATCCACTCCCGTATACCGCTGCTCTCTTAAAGGCATCTGCACCCCTGCTTTGGGTCTCAGATGGGCTGCTAGAGGTGGGGTTGGAGTTCCTCCTGGGAAGCGGGCAGCTATGGGAGGAGTCTCTCTGCCTTCTCTCTCGTCTACTCTGGGTGGTTTAGGGGTGTGCAATTCTGGTGGGGGTGCTGAGGATTCAGGCCCAGGGGCAAGGAGTCCTTGAGGAGGAACGGGTATTATCGGCAAAAACTCCTCTGCTGTCAGATTTTCCAGGCCCTTGGGAGTCTGTGTCTCTGCCACTGAATCTGCCAGGACCCTGGGAGTCTGTATCTCTCGGTGGGTGGAGCAGGGTTTTTACCTAGCTGCCTGTCCGTTTGCTATTAGTATGGTTGCTGCCTGTCCTTTCAATCACTGTGGGAAGTTTAGAATGAGCTACAGCCACGTATCTATATATGTGAATTGATCAGGGTGTCCTGGCTCACCACATGTAACTTCATGCCATAATTTGTAGACAAGAGACCTGTCTAGGCTCCCATCTGAGGGCCAATCCACCCCAAATGCTGGCCAGTCTACTTCACATAAGGTCCTCAGCTTCCCTGGTGTCATAGTTACTCCATAATCTCCACTAAATCCCTTCTTGAAATTTTTCAGCATAGTCCCTAGAGGGCTACGCTTGCTATAAGTATGACCTATGTTTTGCACCAAAAAAACAGTCCTCGCAGACAGTTAAGAAAGTTTACTTCACCCTCAGTTCCTGCCCGGCACAGCACAACACACCCTCAATCACTTTCGCTTCAGGCTGGTAGGATCGTCTCCCACTCGGGGAGTATTTCAGGTGCCTCTTGGCATCGGAGCATTCGTTAATCCCTCCACAATGCCTAGATTGTGAAGATGCCTCCTTCTAGCCATTTGCAGATCGCCCCTAATCCCAGCCAGCCCCACAATTCACTCAGAGCATGGGGTCCTCTCTCATGGACCTGCAGCCCCCACATTTCACAGCTGATGAGTCCAGTTGGACCCCTCCAATCACTCACACAATCACACTCCTCCCCTGCCCAAATCGAAACCAAAAAACAAGACTTCCAAGGTTAATCACAGAGAGAGCGAGCCAAGTACAAGAGTGCCAAATCCAGCACATGTGTGTGATCAGGCCATGCTTCCACCTAAAGGAGGTGGGCAAGTGTCCCAGGATCAATCCTACCGTGTTTCTGTTGTCCGGACACTCCAAGTACCATTCCTTCTTGCTGTTCAGTCACCGGGTGGATCCACACTGCAGGTGCTTTCCTGCTCTGCTCTGGCGAGGCTTTCCACTGGGCCAATACCTGCCCAGGAGCGCTCACCCAAGCAGGCGGGAGCATCACCCAAGCAGGAGCCCCCTGCAGGGATGCTCTGAAGGGCTAGGCAAAACCGCCTGAAAGGCTGTGCTGGCCGTCCGCCAACCGAAACTCATGTCAACCTCTCGAACACCAAACTGGGAAGGAAGTGGTGATTTATCTGGCCAGAATCTTGGCTGTTAGGCAACTATGCCACCTTGCTCCTGGCTGAATAAATCACTCCTTCCTTCCCAGTTTGGTGTTCTAGAGGTTTTTTCGCAGCCACTTTCCTGCTTTATTTGCAGTGAGCCGAGATCCTGCCTGGTCAACAGAGTGAGGCTCCATCTCAAAAAAAATCCTGCTGGGAGTGGGGGCTCAAGCCTGTAATCCTAGCACTTTGGAAGGCAGAGATGGGTGGATCATGAGGTCGAGAGATTGAGACCATCCTGGCAAACATGGTAAAACCCCATCTCTACTAAAAATACAAAATTAGCGGAGCTTGGTGGCGCGCACCTGTAGCCCCAGCTACTCAGGAGGCTGGCGCAGGTGAATTGCTTGAACCCAGGAAGTGGAGGTTGCAGTGAGCTGGGTGCAGTGGCTCACACTAGTAATCCCAGCACTTTGGGAGGCTGAGGCAGGTGGATCATGAGGTCAGGAATTCGAGACCAGCCTGGCCAACATATTGAAACCCTGCCTCCACTAAAAATACAAAAAATTAGCTGGGCATGGTGGCAGGCACCTGTAATCTCAGCTACGTGGGAGGCTGAGGCAGGAGAATCGCTTGAACCTGGGAGACAGAGGTAGCAGTGAGCTTAGACCACACCATTGCATTCCAGCCTGGGTGACAGAGTGAGACTCCATCTCAAAAATAAAAATAAAAATCCTGGGTTGGGTGAGTTGGCTTATGCCTGTAATCCCAGCACTTTGGGAGGCCAAGGCAGGTAGATCACTTGAGGTCAGGAGTTCGAGACCAGCCTGGCCAACATGGTGAAACCCCATTCCATTAAAACAAAAAAGAAAGAAAACCCTTTGGAGAATGCTATAAATAATTACAATGCTCTATGGGGTGAGGTAGGGGAGGAAACAGAGGTCCAGCAATAAAATAGGTGAAGGCTTAGAAAAATTCCAATTTAGGCATTAACCTTTTTGTGACCTAATTTGTACTCATAGGCTATTGAAGCCTGCAGTACACTACCTATATACATGTAAAGTCAAGTGATGGGGTCACAGTTTCTGCCATATAGCAGGGATTGGAGATGCAGATTATGTTAAAACATGCGCTATGAATAAAGAGAAAACCCAAACAGGCTTTGTGTGAGCAACGTGGCTGTTTATTCACCTGGGTGCAGAAAAGGTTGTCAGTGAAGGGCAGTGGGAGAGGAGTTGGTTTTATAGGTTTGGGGTGGGCAGTGGAAAGTTACAGTTTAGGGCAGTTCTTCGCAAGCTCGGAGGGAGTTGTAGGGTGTGGAGTCAGGAGGTTGGCCAAGGTGACTTACAAAGTCCAGTGGCCTTGTCAATTGAGGCTGGAATAAGAAACAATAGAGAATGTCTCAAAGTTAAGTAGACGCTGCAGGGGTTGATCATTTCTTCCCCTTTTCATGGTCTTCCAGTTACTTTAGATTTTCCTGGAACTCATCTGGAGGGTCCCTGCAGGTCACAGAGGTTAACATGGCATCCATGGCACTACCAGTCAAACTAGAAAAAGACCAAGCTGGGCACCATGGCTCATGCCTATAATCCCAGCCCTTTGGGAGGCTGAAGCAGGTGGATCACTTGAGGTCAGGAGTTCAAAACCAGCCTGTGCAACATGGTGAAACCCCGTCTTAAAAAAAAAAAAAAAAAAAAAAATTTTTAAAAAAAATAAAAAAAAAAAAAAAAAGAACTAGAAAAAGACTTCCCTGTTCCCCCTAGTGGTGAGGAGAATGGGAGAGGGAAGATGGGGGCACCCATGGCCTAGGGTCTAAAATGCCTCTCACAGCACCCACCAAGAAACTACCAATATTAGATGTGCTGAGGAAACTGCACACATCTATCAGTCTGTTCTTAAGAGAGCAGACTCTGCTGGGCGAGGTGGCACAGACTGTAACCCCAGCACTTTGAGAGGCCAAGGCAGGCGGATGGCCTGAGGACAAGAATTCAAGACAAGCCTGGCCAACGTGGTGAAACCCTGTCTCTACTAAACATACAAAAATTAGGGGCCGGGCGCAGTGGCTCACGCCTGTAATCCTAGCACTTTGGTAGGTCAAGGTGGGTGGATCATGAGGTCAGGAGATCGAGACCATCCTGGGTAACGTGGTGAAACTCAGTTGCTACTAAAAACACAAAAATTAGTTGGGTGTGGTGGCGCCTGCCTGAAATCCCAGCTACTCGGGAGGCTGAGATACAGTGAGAATTGCTTGAACCCAGGAGGCGGAGGTTGCAGTGAGCTGAGATCATGCCACTGCACTCCAGCCTGGGTGATAGAGCCAGACTTCTCAAAAAACAAACAAGCAAACAGAAAAAAAAAAACAATAATTAACCGGGCATGGTGATGCATGCCTGTAATCCCAGCTACTCAGGAGGCTGAGGCACGAGAATCGCTTGAACCCAGGAGGTGGAGGTTGCACTCCAGCCCAGGCAACAAGACCGAAAATCCATCTCAAAATAAATAAATAAATAAAAGAGCAGACTCAAATATTTAGAAAAAATTTCAAGCCAACAACTGAGATCCAGGTAGAATATACTGACAATTCAAGGGTCCCTTGCCTATAAGAAATTATATATACTATATGTTCATAATTTTTTTTTCCTGAGACAGATCTTGCTCTGTCACCTAGGCTGAAGTGCAATGGCGTGCTCTTGGGTCACCGCAAACTCCACCTCCCGGGTTCAAGCAATTCTCCCGCCTCAGCCTCCTGAGTAGCTGGAATTACAGGCATGCACCACCACACCTGGCTAATTTTTGTATTTTTAGTAGAGACGGGGTTTCACCATGTTGGTCAGGCTGACCTCAAACTCCTGACCTCAGGTGATGTGCCCACCTCGGCCTTCCAAAGTGCTGGGATTACAGGTGTGAGCCACCATGCCTGACCATATGTTCATAATTTATGTGTATTTAAGCTGTATAGCAAACACAGAAAAATGTCAGCAATGGTTGTCTTTGGATGCGTTATTTCTGTTTTTCAGTATTTTATGTTTTCTTCATTTTTCTCTGTGAGCAAATACTACCTTTATGCTGGAAATAAGAGTTCCTTGCCATGTAAAAACCAAGACTCTTCTTCTCTGACCCAAGCTGTGATCCAGATTCTTCCTTCCATTGTAATCTGTAGGCTTCCTAGGGGTCTTCATCTGATAACAGTATCACAGGTTAGCCCAACTGCTATCATTTTCAGCGTCTGTTGAACTCCTGCAGTAGATGCTGGGGAAAGATGTATGTGTCAGTAGGAAGAATGGGATAAAGCAACCGTATAATAGCTATTTAAAACCTGGGAATTCAGGTCTCTTGTCTCTGGTTTAATCTGCATTGATGCAGAGCCTTTATACGCTATAACAGCTGCTAGATTGTCTCTTTTTCCTCTAGTTAAAAGTCAGGGACTAGGGCGAGAATTACCATTTTTAGCAGTAATGAAAGGATGGAAAAGCAGGTACTTGCTTTGCTACAGACTTTTTTCTTTGTGCTATTAAATGTTGCTCCATATTATTAAGGGTTAATTATATTTCTTTCAGGCTGGGCACGGTGGCTCACGCCTATAATCCCAGCACTTTGGGAGGCTGAGGCGGGTGGATCACGAGGTCAAGAGATCGAGACCATCCTGGTCAACATGGTGAAACCTCGTCTCTACTAAAAATACAAAAATTAGCTGGTCATGGTGGCACGTGCCTATAGTCCCAGCTACTTGGGACGCTGAGGCAGGAGAATTGCTTGAACCCAGGAAGCGGAGGTTGCGGTCAGCCGAGATCGTGCCACTACACTCCAGCCTGGGTAACAAGAGCAAAACTCCATCTCAAACAAAAAAAAAAAAAAAAAAAAAAAATTATGTTTCTTTCTTGGTATACCTCAACAAGCCCCTAAAAGGCATATCTGTATACTACAATATGCCTGGAACTAAAAACTTTTGAAACTGAAAACTTGATACAGCCATTATCTGAAAACATGTTTATATTAATCTTCTTCTTCTTTTTTTTCTTTTTTTTTTTTTTTAAGACGGGATTTCACCATATTGGTCAGGCTGGTCTCAAACTCCTAACCTCAGGGGATCCGCCCGCCTCAGCCTCCCAAAGTGCTGGGATTATAGGCGTGAGCAACATGTTTATATTAATCTAGATTTTTAAAGTTGGTGGGGAGATTCCCCACTTCCTGATAAAGTCTGAAATACATTGGCCGGGCGTGGTGGCTCATGCCTGTAATCCAAGCACTTTGGAGGCCAAGGTGGGCGGATCACCTGAGGTCAGGAGTTCAAGACCAGCCTGACCAACATGGTGAAACCCCGTCTTAAAAAAAAAAAAAAACTCTGAAATACAGATCTCTTCATTTATTTATTTATTTTAAACCAATCTCTGTAGAGACTGTCAAAAATTGCCAGTGCCGACTGTATTGCAAGTCGTCATGGCAGGGTATTGGAAAAAGTTTTCAATTAGCAATAATAGTGCCTCGGATAAACCTCATTGGCTACGATACTGCCACGGCATAAAGCTACATCTCTTTTTATTTAAAGAGCCGCAATGGGACAGGTATTTCCCAAGTCATGCAGCATTTAAATGGATCAACCTCACTGAAAGCCGTTGAGATTCAAATATATTAAATATTAAAACAAGAAAAAATAAATAAAGTTGGCGGGGAGTCAGAACTTCAAGGCATCCATTTGTTCCCATCATTATATCACAGACCAAGTTGTTTTGCACTCTGGCTACAATGTCCAAAGGAACTTAGAGAACCAAAATAATCAGGGAAGAGCTGTGATGCCTGTGTTGCTCTGTTGAACTAGCCATGCCTCCCTCTCTGACTTGCATGCACAGGGACTGCCACGTTTTATTTTCCAAGC